TGAAGTGACTGTTTTCGCACTAAATAGACTATTACCTGAAAAAGAGATCTTCTACTATTGCCTGGACCTCCTTGGGGTTCCCAAGAATTACAGTGATGCCTGTCTCCTGATGACAGAGCTTCCCACTTCATGGTGACTTCTATCTGCTACATCAAGTAATGCTTGAAGGGATGATCTGGTAACCAATTTCCCTTCATCGAGGATGGTGTGGAACTGGGCCTAAGCTCCTGCAGCAGTTCATTAGTGAATTCCAATAGTTCGTTGTAATGAATAAAGTCATACGTGGATATTAATACATGGTAATTCAATATTTGAAAAGAGCATAACTGATGAAAAAAATCTGACAAAGATCTAGTCTCTTGGCATCTTTGTCTGAAGGATAGGCCTAAGCTGGTGCAGCCTGTTATGTTCTGTGACAATCTTGTCCACTAGAGAATTCAGATTAAGATGAAAGAACAAGTGTTCTGCCCCTAGTATGGAGCAAAGTACTTTTTCTCCACCCTTTTTGGGTGGGAAGTGCAGGTAGCTGGGGTGTGCCAAGCCATTTTAGTAGTCTCCAATATGGTTTCGTTAATAGGCAGCATTATCTTGTTAGGGCCTATAGTCTGGAGGATATCCAGAAGTTTATGGGCAGGATCTTGGACATCTTCCAGGGGAATCTGGAGAGAGTTTCCACAATTTTCCTCAAAAGGTTCTGATGTTGTCTATAAGCAACTAGTGGCAGGGCAAGGCTCGTGTCTCATCCCTAGTCCCTTTAGCAATAGAAGGAAATTAATAATACTTTATTTTACAGGATCATTGTCAAAACTAAATTAGATAACATCTGTAGACTGCTTTACACATAACTGAAGTAACATAAGTATTTTAGTATCGGAACACCATATTTCAGGATATTAAGTTAATCTAATAAAAATAGCTCTCTAATAGCTCATTGTTTTCTTGTGGTGCAATGTTCTACAGGGAGTGTTTGGGGTGGTAAGTAAAGGCAGATTTTACGTTACAGCAACCTGAAATATATGCTGGTACCTCTTTCTGAGCCAGTCTCTGCCTTTGATTTTGCATAGCTGTCTTCATTACTAATTTTTAATCTGGGCACTTCTAATTGGGCATTTTCTATATCCTCTGTTTGATATAGAATAGGCTTTAAGTGCATGTCTTTTTTATAGCTACTCAGCAGAAATTATAGCAAAGTACTCTGAGACATTTGGTATGGAAAGTATTCTTTCTGAATTTGCACCTCTGTACCTTTTCCTACAGTTGCCATGAAGTCAGTGTTTCAGTTATAGATCTTACACACACATTATTGGGCAACAAGTCAACAACTGTACTTCATTTAGTCCAGAGCTAGAAGCATTTGTTTAGCTATAAACTCAGATGCTGTGCTTACTGATGGCTATACATAGCTCCATTGTGACTTAGGAAAAAAGTGTGCTTTTGTTGACTTGTTAAACGTATTAGCTAAATAATTTTGGGTAAGAGGAATCTATACTTATGTTAAAGTGAACTATTTTCCCCCATCATCCTCTACACTGACTATATTAAAAATGGTGTGTAAGCTTTTCTTGTTGGCACACACACAGATGGCCATAATCATTCAAGAAACTATTTTTATTGAAATCTGACTGGAAACTACATGGATGAGTATCTTATGGAATTTGATAATAGAAAAGTTTGACAAGATTAGTGTGAAGCTTCAAAAACCGGATTTGGATCACGTCATTGCTGTTAATTTCATGACTTCCTTGCAAGAGTTTGTCACAAGTTTACAGTCTCAGTTTGATGATTTTGAGGTGCAAGCAAAAAAATTGGTAATTGATGTTGGTAAGTCCTATTGTGAACATTACAAACATACTGCAAAGCAAAGCTTTCCAAGTGGCAAAAGTGACACTATGCTTCAGGGAAGAAAGAAATTCTAGGTTGAGCGCTTTTATGTTAACCTCAACAAGTGAAGTTTGAAACTATAAAGAAGTGACTGATATGTTTAACTACTCACAAAGTTTGGCTTCCTTAGGTCTCTTCATCAAGTATGAAGTGAACAGGAGATGAAAATATGCATTGAGGCATTACTCAAGGTTTACCCAAATGATCTAGAACCTGAGTTTGCTGAAATTTATCAATCTTCATTATTTATAAGGTATTGGGACACTCAGGTCAAGAGTGGTACTGGGATCATCAAGTTTTTGCATGACAAAGATTGGAGTAATGTCTTCTTGAATATATTCAATGTGTTGAGACTGTATTTGAGTGTACCTATTGCCAACTGTGAAGCAGAGCAATCTTTCTCTAAGCTTGCCTTAAATAGTCTTTAATCTACTACGATGGAAACTAAGCTTAATGCTCTTGCTACCATGTCAGTTGAATGGAATTTACAGTAGACACAGTCATTTGAGGAAACTATAATTGAATTTGTGGCATTTAAAGCTGGCAAGATGTCAGTTTAAACATGCAGCATTTCATTTGACTCAATGTTTTAGGTCTCTTCAAGCAGTACATAAATTGTTCATGGGCTTCAATTTTCTTCATGTTTTTTCCAGTACTATAAATGATTTGTTGATTGACATAAGCTGGGTACTCTTTTGCTTTCACTAATACCACATTCTTAAAAAGGGGGCCTCCAAAAACCATTAGTCCTAGATCGCCAATCTCATTAAACTAGACCTGTGAGGGTGCATGGGAGACTCTGGAAGAGGTGTTGTGCATGCAGGCAGGGAGGAGAGCACCTGCGGGAGGGGCTCGGACAGCCTCTTATTTGTCCGTCTCCCAATAGCCTCCCAAATTTCTCCCTTGCTCCCCCGTCGCTGCCCCCACATTCTGTTCCTCCCTGTCCCCAACCCCCCCTCCCAGTTCCCTCATTTCTCCCTTCACCTTCTCAACAGCCTCTCATACTGCTCCTTCCTCCCCCCTGCCATGTCCTTGAGCCAGCAAGGGAACCAGAGGCCACCTGGCTGCCTGATATTTGGGACCACAATAGCCTCTGGTGGCCATGAGGAGCTGGGGCAGCTACCTTCCCACAACTGCTGAATGCAAGTGCTTGCAGTTTGAGATGTGAATAGTTGTGACAGAACTGCTAAATGTATAAGTCTCACACCAGATGCTTGACACTTGCCTGGCCTCCAGACAATTTTGCCCCTGCTGGTAAACATTCTTCTCTGCATCATTTGCCATCTAAACAACATTTGTGGCTCTCTGCCTCAACACTGCATCTTTCAAATCTAATCTAACATGCTGTTATGGTTACTTATTATTTGTATTACAGTAGCACCTAGAAACCCTGATCATGGACCAGGCCCCCGAAGTTGTTCACCCCACCTCTGTTCTCTCAAGCTGTGCTATGCTTTTTTAACTCTGAAACTATTGCATTTCAAGGGACACTGCCAACTAAATTTGGGCCCAAATTTGCAGTTTAGACTTCTTTAAAAGCAAGTATATACAAAATCTATGACCATAACCCTTTTTCCATGATTCCAACGGAAAAAGTTGTTTTCTTAACAAATACACATTCCCCTTCCATGTTTGTTCCCCAAACATTGCAGCACTAAGAACCTTAAAGTGAAACTAACCATAAACATACTAAATAATAATATCTAATTTTTATATAACACTTTCATCTGTAGATCTAAAAACATTTTAAAAAGCACATTTTACAGATGGGGAAACTGTGCTAAAGGAATTGGTGGATGTGACTGCAGAGCCATTGGCCATTATCTTTGAAAACTCATGGCGATCGGGGGAAGTCCTGGACAAATGGAAAAAGGCTAATGTACTGCCCATCTTTAAAAAAGGGAAGAAGGAGGATCCTCGGAACTACAGGCCAGTCAGCCTCACCTCAGTCCCTGGAAAAATCATGGAGCAGGTCCTCAAGGAATCAATTCTGAAACACTTAGAGGAGAGGAAAGTGATCAGGAACAGTCAGCATGGATTCACCAAGGGCAAGTCATGCTTGACTAATCTAATTGCCTTCTATGATGATATAACTGGCTCTGTTGATGAGGGGAAAGCAGTGGACGTGTTGTTCCTTGACTTTAGCAAAGCTTTTGACATGGTTTCCCACAGTATTCTTGCCACCAAGATAAAGAAGTATGGGCTGGATGAATGGATTATAAGGTGGATAGAAAGCTAGCTAAATTGTCGGGCTCAACGGGTAGTGATCAATGGCTCCATGTCTAGTTGGCAGCCATATCAAGTGGAGTGCCCCAAGGGTTGGTCCTTGGGCCAGTTTTGTTCAATATCTTCATAAATGATCTGGAGGATGGTGTGGATTGCACCCTCAGCAAGTTTACAGATGACACTAAACTGGGAGGAGAGGTAGATACGCCGGAGGGTTGGGATAGGATACAGAGGGACCTAGACAAATTAGAGGATTGGGCCAAAAGAAATCTGATGAGGTTGAACAAGGACAAGTGCAGAGTCCTGCACTTAGGACGGAAGAATCCCATGCACTGCTACAGACTAGGGACCGAATGGCTCGGCAGCAGTTCTGCAGAAAAGGACTTAGGGGTTACAGTGGATGAGAAGCTGGATATGAGTCAACAGTGTGCCCTTGTTACCAAGAAGGCCAATGGCATTTTGGGATGTATAAGTAGGGGCATTGCCAGCAGATTGAGGGATGTGATCGTTCCCCTCTATTCAACATTGGTGAGGCCTCATCTGGAGTACTGTGTCCAGTTTGGGGCTCCACACTACAAGAAGGATGTGGAAAAATTGGAAAACGTCCAGCGGAAGGCAACAAAAATTATTAGGGGACTGGAATACATGACTTATGAGGAGAGGCTGAGGGAACTGGGGATGTTTAGTCTACAGAAGAGAAGAATGAGGGGGGATTTGATAGCTGCTTTCAACTACCTGAAAGGTGGATCCAAAGAGGATGGGTCTAGACTGCTCTCAGTGGTAGCAGATGACAGAACAAGGAGTAATGGTCTCAAGTTGCAGTGGGGGAGGTTTAGGTTGGATATTAGGCAAAACTTTCACTAGGAGGGTGGTGAAACACTGGAATGCATTACCTAGGAAGGTGGTGGAATCTCCTTCCTTAGAAGTTTTTAAGGTCAGGCTTGACAAAGCCCTGGCTGGGATGATTTAGTTGGGGATCAGTCCTGCTTTGAGCAGGAGGTTGGACTAGATGACCTCCTGAGGTCCCTTCCAACCCTGATATTCTATGAAGCATGGAGAGATGAAGAAACTTGCCCAAGGTCACCCACCGGATCGTCAGAGCCAGGAATATAAACCAGGTTTCCTGAGTCCCAGTTCAGTGCACTATCCACTAGGCTATATTACAGAAACAAGTAAAAAGAAAAAAAGCATAGTGAACAGTAAATCAGATACTTGAAATTCTTTTGTTTTTAACATACAACTGTTATTGATAATGGAAAGACACTTGTTAATTTATAATGTAAGTTTTTAAAATGAACAATCTCTATCATGCTGGGATACAGTTTGTATGAAAGACAGTATACAAAATAAAATTAAGTTGCAATACATACCTGAGACTACTATAGTTTGGCACCATACAGTCACACACAAGGATAATTTTGTGGCCTCTGAAATTCTTCTTGTTCACACTTAAAAAAAACAAAACGTCAGAATGTGATGTTTTCGCCTCTGATTTTGAATGCAAGATCCGTGTTGAATTGAATTTAAAAGCCTAATCCAAAATTTTCAAATGGGGATGCCTAATTTAGGCGGCTCCTATCTTATGTTACTGAATAAGTGATCCAATTTTCAAAGCTTCTAAGTGCATATAACTCGGTATCTAGAAGCTGCTCATAGGAGATGAAGATGCTCAGCACCTCTGAATATTAGTTCACTTATTTATCTGTCTGGCAGAATTTGAATTTTTTTTACAATTTCAACAAGTATCAATGTTTAGTTTTAAGCATTATTTTAGATTTTAGCTATTTAAATTTTCACAGTTATGGGAAGTTACGTGGAGGGTGGACAATTACTTAATGACAGTAGATATTGAGATTCAAAAAGTTAAACCTTTATAAACTGTCAAAACACAAATTGTCAACATCACATGTCAAAATATTTACAAAGTAAATATCCTTAAATCAACAAACGACATACCTGTTTTTACTATTCATTCACTAGCCCATTTGTAACCAGCCTAATTTAAGAGTGTAAATCCAAGGATTTACACTAATATTTTCAAGCAGCATTTTTCTTACTTTGCCTATCTGTAAATTTAGATTATTGATGGAAATATTTTTGTTGGTGTGTACAGTAAAATTGAAGTTTACTAATAAAAATCTAATCCTTCCAAGCCTATTTTAGGTACCCCAAGTTTGAAAATCTATTTTATCCCTATGTTATGCCAACTAGCTCTATCTGATTAAGTTCAAATACAAATTAAAGGCTGTCAGTCATCTCTGATGTAGGTACTTAGAAAGTTAACATGAAATTGATTCACAAAAATGTTGAATGCCAGTAAAATAGATGTTTTGTTAGTTATATGCAACTCAGAATGACCACAAGCTTCTTTATAACTCCCACATTGAATACAAACAACAATCCTTTGGGGACAGTGGGAAAGATAATATTCACCAATATTAAAATGAAACACCTCCCAGTGTATCACTGGCAATGGAGTTGAATCCTATCATTGCAACAGATATACAAATATGTCTATTGTATGTGTTATTTCAAGAATACATGCAAATAATATACAAATATTTTCACACATTGCTGTAGTGTCACTGTCTTCCTGTCTGAATATGATTCTGCATGGCTGACAGATCATTCACGGAGATTGCTTAAAACTAGTATGAACTAGCATAATACTTGAACAAACAAAACAAAAAAGACATTTTATTGACTTTCTACAGGAGTGTAAAACTCTGGAAAGCCTCATACTGATTTAGTACTTTTATTAAAAAATTTTCAAGTAATATCTTGACTAGTAAAAAATGATTGCAGATCTCTTTGGTGCTACTATTTAGTGGCACTCAGGGTGGACAGATTTAAGTTCTTCTATGATTGTTTTGAGACAGAAAACCCAGTAAACTTTGAGATTCCAAATGGGATTATCACCCTAAACACAAAGTGTCAGGGAATATCTGATAACCCAAAGAATCCATAGACTGAGTATGTAACAAATACTTTCCCCATAGTGACAGCAAAATTCTGGAATAAGGGATTTCAGATATGCAAAGACTTACCCACGCACTAGCTCTTAGACAATAATGTAGCAGCATGCGACTAGTGCACAGAGGTAGTTCTGTATTATTGTCTTGTTTCTTATAATAGGCAATGTTTCACAGCTGTCTGTTTAGGAGACTAACATCCTCTTCTAACCCTTTGACTGGGAAATTCTGTGAGTAACAGGCAACACTTTGTGGTAGCACAGATGGCAGTTTATTTTGGAAATCGAAGTTCAAACTCATGGAACCATAAGGATCTCTACCATTTGATATGCTTGCTATGGTAGAAAAATCCCGCATTTGCAGGAATCTTTGCAATGACTTCCTTACCTAGCAGTTGGCAGAGATGAGGTGGTAAGCGAACACTCAGCCCCAAACCACAATTATACAACTATGGCAGGAACATATCTTAATTCCTAACAAACAGCATCTCTAGTTTGAACCTGGTCTTGCTATCTGAATTTCAGATTTCTCTCCCGCACTGCATCTGCTCCATACCACAATTGACCATGTCAGAAAGCATTTGGAAGCATCACTTACAAAACAGGAAGGAAGTCAGTCATCTTAATGTCCTGTCTGGGATGCAACTGTTGAAAACAAATCTACTGGTTTGTATAGTGCTGCAGTGACTTCTTTATCTAGCATGCTCCCTCTTGCACTTTGCAGATTCTTTCAGGCTCAGGGACAGAACTCCAAGCTTCACTATACCACCTTTGTGCCAACATCTGTGTAGCTGAAACCTCTGCAACTCTCTGCAACCATTACCTTTACAAGTGATCCTAAAATGATAATTCCCAGTGACTTTCTCAGTTGGTACAATCCTTAGGAACAGCCTACTATGCAGTGATGATGAACACTTTCCAAGGTTGGTAGCTTTCTTGTCTCACTTCAAGGAAAATTCAGAAAGTTTCTAAAACATAATACACAGGAGTACTCCAAGCTATCCTGGCAGAGTGTCTTTAAACTAGGATTAATATGCAAATAGATTGAAACACCTTTCTTCCTTGAATCCCTTCCAGGTTATCTAAAAGGATTCTTGTATAGCCCCAAATTCCTCTTCTAGCTCTGTAGGGTAACACTGGTCTCAAGGACCTTTTCTGTGCCATTGCTCTAAAGGAAGTTCTTACCCTGAGTTGACTACCCTATTCCATCCACCTGGGTAATACCCTTAGCTGGAAAAAGTATCCAGCACTACAGATACTAATGAATACAAATGCAGCATGAATAATGTATTTAGAACTCTATTTTGAAAACTGAAATTCAGGATATAGTACAAGTCCAGTGACACCTTAAAGACTAAAACATGTATTTGGGCATAAGCTTTCATGGGTAAAAAACCACTTCTTCAGGTGCATGGAGTGAAAATTACAGATGCAGGCATTATACTGACACATGAAGAGAAGGGAGTTACCTCACAAGTGGAGAATCAGTGTTTACAGGGCCACTTCAATCAGGGTGGATATAGTCCACTCCCAATAACAGATGAGGAGGAGCAGAAATCCACTCACTATGCAATTTCATCTTTATCCCAAATAATTAAAGCTTTCAATAAATTAACTTGCTCACAAAGATGACAGGTGATGGATGGATCACATTTGCACTGCAGAAGCAACATATTTGTGCTGAGAGAAAAGATGTGCAGGGTGCTCTAGGATTCACAGCTCTCTAATTTGCAGAGCAGCACAGCAGTCAGTTTTCACCTTCCAGGGGTACAATGTGGGTGGAGAAAGGTTATGTCTGAGGAGACAGATTTAAGTATGGGTCCAAGGGCTGCAGTTGACCTGGCCCTTGGGGGAGGCTAGCCCCTGGCCCTCTCCTTCTGCCTGAGGCTTCTCCCCTTCCGCTCCCTTTCTACCCCTGTCCCCTGCAGGAGCCCAGAGCACACCCCCCCCCCCCGTGGCTGCCAGTACCAGGGTGGCCACAGCACCCCCAGCCACGGTGTGCTAGGAGGCACAGCCACAGTGCCCACAGTCCTGGTGTGCTGGGCAGCCAGGCAACGTGGCTGCAACGCCAGGCAGGCAGCAAGCCCCAGCATCAGGCTCCCTGAGACCCTGCAGCAAACTGGCCAGCCCCAGCCAACTTTGGCCAGGACAGAGCTGGAACTGCAAGAGGGGGTCTGAAGGCAGAGCTTCTGTAGTGAACTGCTGCACACAGCCATGCAGTGTTGCCAAACCCTGCCTCCAGGTCATGTCTCCTAATTCCCATGAGTGGCACGTGACCCGCCAGCTGGAGGAGGCTAGCCCCAAGCCCAGCCTCTTCTGCCCGAGGCCCTGCCCCTTCCACCCCCTGCCACAGCCCAGAGCCAGCGCCCCCCACTGTAACCACCGGCCCAATCCTGGCCCAGGCTCGGCCCCCAGCCCCAAAGGAGCACCGGGGGGCGAGTGTCACATGGCCCCAGTCCCAGAAAGGTGTGTAGCCCCAGCCTCCTCAGCCCCGGAGTGCCGGGAAGGTGGGCAGCACATGGATGCAGCCTCCTCAGCCCCATCTGGATCACTGGGGCCTGGAGCTGCATGCAGGGAGTGAGGGTAAGCAGAAGGCGGGGCCATAGCTGGCTGTTTGGGGAGGCACAGCCTCCCCCAGCCTAGGTGACCCACCACCTGTGCAAATTGTCACACTCACAGCACTGTCCCTTATGAGGGAGCATCTCCAAATCACAGACTTCCATGAACATCTCTACAATCACCGCCCTCCAAATCCCCCATAATTGCTTTCAAATGTTGGCACCTCTGGAAAACTGAGCCTGAGAGGATTAAATGTCTCCTCCAGCAATGAAAATCTTCTGATTGCAGCACCTTTTCCTTCAGCTCCCAACAGGGAGCACCAGCAACGTAACAATCAACTTCACCATATTTACATAAACTGACAGAATTATTTCCATTGAGAATCATTGAAATGTACAGATAAGCAGCATTTTTTAAATTTTTTTTTTGCCTGAGAACTTAGAGTTTGATTAAGGATGTTTACTTTGTATATTTTGACATATGACGTTGACAATTTGTGTTTTAATGGTTATAAAGCTTTAAAACTTTTTGAATCTCAATGACTATCATTAAATAATTATTGTCTGACCCCACCATAAGTGATAAAAATAAATCATTGCTTAAAAATATTATCCATCAAAATTATAAAAAAATCAAGTTCTGCTGAACATAATTAGGAGTTATTTTCCCAAACCATTGGAGAATTCAGCCTAGGGTGTCTCAGTCATTTGCAATTAAGTTTCTCTAACATTTAGGCTAGACAGGGAGAGACAGGAACATCTTCTAGTTTCTACTTTGTTTCCATGAGTTTTGTAACTGTAAGCAGAGTCAGGATGAGCTCTACCCTGACATCTGGTGGCGAGTCATGGTGGGTTGTGGAAAAGAACTTCAGGGGCTGATCTCATTTGCATAGGCACACCCACCCCACCTAGATGGTCACT